TGCCGTGAAGAATGATTTCGCCTCCCTCTGAAGGCACCTGCTTTTCCCTGTAAGGAGAGGGACTCCCGGCGAGGCAGCGTGCTGTGTGGCAGTCCTTCATCCCAGGTATTTGGGAATGCTGTTAACTGATGGATGTTCAAGACAAAATGAATCACGCAGCTACTACTTGTTACCTCCAGCCCAGAAGACTGCAGGTCCTGCTTTTTAGCTGTCATCAGAAAACGAGCTCTGACACTGCTTCTATGTTCCTTGCCTTTGAACTTCTCCAAGCCCCGGCAAGACATGTCCTCCTGCCTTCCCGTGCCGTGTACCGCCAGAGGACGCTGCGGGTGTGCATGCACGGACACACGTGTGCGTGCGTGCTGCGGTGCCCAGGCCAGGCGCCTGCCTGCACAGACACACGGTGTGCGTTTGGTGTGGGCAGCTGGGACGCCATCCCTCCCGCCGAGTCTGCTGCCCGCACCCAGACGCGCTCCCGGAGCCAGCCACGGGGTTTAGCTGGGGAAAATCGGTTTCTGGGCAGAGCTCTGACTGTAAGCCAGGTTTTTGTGGTCATGCTCAGAGGCTGGGCAGGTGTAGCAGCCCGTCTGCGAGCACTCCTCTTTGATTTTCTTTCCCTGCTGTATCATCCTGAGCTCGGAGCCATCGCCCCTACCACGTGTGGGGACAGTGGCTGGGGATGGAGGCAGCGGCAGTTGGCTCCTGCTGCCCGTGGAGCTCGCTGCCTCATCCCGGGCAGTCAGAGGAGGTGGGCTGGGACGGGACAGGGCAGTTGGTCAGTTGTGGTCTCTGATGGCTTGCTCCACTTGAAAGCTGAGGGTTTGGTGGAGACCTGAGTCACCTCTTGTGGCCGTGGTGGCAGTGAGTCACGGGCAGCACTCATTCCGGCTGCTCCCCTTAGTGGTGGGGAGAATTTCGGTGCCTTTGCCCGTTAGCTTCCTCACTGCCCAGCATACCAGTGAGAGACTTTCAGTGCCTTTTTCTCACTCATTTTCAGAGGAAGCTGCAATTTTGGGTGATGACTTAGTCTCAGGTTTAGTGTCTTCTCTGGTTGGGGTGGAAAGCTGCCTTCTGCTCTCCTGAAAAGCAGCTCTGGCCACCACAGAGTATCCACAGCAGCACTGAGGGCAGCTGAAGAGAAAGCGATTAAGAAGTGCTCAGAGGTGGCTGTGCTGCAGCAACGGGAGCATTGTCTAGAGCAGAGGGTGGAAGGGGGCAGAGAGGACGTGTTGGGAAACACGACCTGATAGAAACCCCACCAAAGCCAGGCTGGCAGTGTGGTGGATCTGGCTGGGTAAGGCGCTGCCGGGGAGCAACAAGGCGTTGTGTTGGGCTGGCAGCCGAGGACCGGAGCGGGTGCTCTGGGGCGAGACAGAGCTTGCCTGGCAGGGACACGTATCTTGGCAGCCGTACGGCAGTGCTCGGTGAGCTGAACAGTGCGGGGCTGGAAGCTGCTCGCACAAGGCTTGGGCGGTGGCAGCAGGGGGGACAGCCAGGCTGATGCATCTTGTCCTGCACTGTGCTGCCTGCGCTGCCTGCGAGAATGCAGCTCCTGCCTGCCCTGCCCGCTCCTTTCCTCTTTCCCAGAGAGATGTACAGACAGGGAAATCACCTGCTTCCTTTTTTTCATAGGGGTTCATTTTTCTTTAGCCTGGCTTTCCAAAGAAGTAAAGCCTCTAAGCTCCCGCTTTTAATATCCTGACCTATTATTTGCAAGAAAAGTTGACACAGTGGCATGGTTGAAACAAATGGTAAATCTCTACTAGTTTCACAAAAATTGGTAGAGACCTGGTTAAGCTGTTGTAGTAGAAAGCACTAATCGGTTCTCCCTTCACTGGGCTGTTGGACGCAGGACGGGCAGTGGAAACCAGGCTCTACCAGTTCTGCCCATGACCTGCCTTGTTAAAGAGCAACGTTTCTGTTTGTTTAGACTGGGAAGGTGTGCTGGGCTTTGGCAGGCTCCCAGCCGTTCTCAGAAGCTTCTTGCCTGGGTGTACATTTGTGCTGAAGTTTAGAGCTGTGCCCTGCTCAAAACGGAGCCAGTCGCAGCCCATGGGCAAAAGTCACCTGGTCCTGAACCCAGCAAGATGCTGGATGGGAGCCTGAAAACCAGAAAGGGAAAAAATGGGATGAAGAAACCAAATTTGGAGCTGACGTGGCAATGGCTGAACTTGTTATTTTTGTTAAACGCTTCACTTAGTGCAGCTTGTGTGTGTTTTGAAGAGTTACCTGGACGTGCTAAGCGGTGCTGACCTCTCTGTGTTTAGTAAAGGGTGGGAGATGCTCATTTTAACTGGACTTCTCAGTCTCTTCTCTGTGCCTGGAAGACTGTCTGGAGCTGGTGAGTCAGGCCGGGGGAATGCGGGCTCCAGACTGGCACCGCTCACAGGGCAGACCTGCAGCAGTTGACCTGCTCTGAAGGATTGGCTTCCTAAAATGACTGACCTGGCTCCATGAAATAAGCAGTAGCAGCCCTGGGATACTGCTTATGGTCCTTCGTCTCAGTGCCAGCTAAGATGTCCCTGCGCCAGCTCTCAGCCTTGTTGGCCATGCTTGAGAAGTAAGGTCCTCAAGTTCTGTTTGCAAACAAAGCTTGGCCAAACCCGGGCTGGATGGCATTTTGTCTTTCCTTCCTCTCTGTAGGAAAGGGATAAATTACTAGCTGATGTGAGGAATGCCACAATCACACCTGGTGCCTCTTCCAGCTGTACCAATTACACTCCACCCTGATGATGATGAGGTGTCACAAGGCAGGAATAATGACAGATGGCCAAGGGGAGGAGATTGTGGCAAAGGGAACATGAGAACCGTCAAAGGAATGAAGAGCTGGGGGAAGGCAATGAGCAGGCTGCTCATGAATTCTGAGATGAAAACACAGTACTTCCCCAGATAGCAGAGACCAGTGAAAGGAACTAGCTGGCTCTGGACCTCTTCCTGCTGTGCTGCTTTACCACCAGCGCTGCAGGCCTGGGGCTGGGATCAGGGCACTGCAGCCTGGCCACAAAGATCATCCCTGCCCCAGATTGCTCAAACGAAGAAACGCTGAAGTGACAGTCGATGCACCTAACAAAAAGGACAAGTTTTTCTAGGTTTAGTTTTCGTATAAAACATGACATACTTATGGCGCTGGATGGACTGTGGAGTCCTTTAAACAGCTAAAGAAACCTTCACCTTGGTCTTGATGAACACCTCCAGCGTAATGACACTTGAGAAAAGGAAACTCGCTGCCTGGGCTGCTGTGCTGGAGGAAACGGCTCAGTCTCCAGGCTTTATTTTATTGGAAAGCACCCAGGATGATGCCAGCACAGTCTGAGCAGCAGCAGACGGGTGTTTGGAAGTCGGATGTGCTGGGATGGGGCGCACTGTGTTGGCATAACCAGGAATGTTGGGGTTGGGAGGGGAAGTGCCAGCCAGGGCGATGCCAGTGTGTAATGGGAAGTTCTTTTTTGTAACCGAGATGATGTGGGAGAACACAGTGATTTGTAAAGGACAGCCTGGTAATAGGGTGTCCAAAGAGCATCTTCTAACAAGGAGCGGAGCTTATCTTACTTTGCAAGGGCATATTTGGTACTCCAGTAAGCAGTGTTCCTCTGCTTATCGTCTTTGCTGGTTCATTTTAGTTGTCATTTTTATGTTCCTATAGGCGATCTTCACTAATGTTTGATTTATAGGTGAATCTAATACTGCAGATCTAATCTAACTCAAAAGAATCTCATTACAACATAATGGGTGATAGATGTAGTTTCAGGCACGGTAATCTGGCATAATGTCTGGAGAATGATATCTGTTGATTTATTTACTGGGCAAAAAATGGAAACAGCTGACAAACTTTTCAGGTTCATCAAGATTTATTCCCTCAGTCTAATAAGCTGCGATTGTTGCTATGCTATAAAGACTTGTTTCATCTCTTTGCAAATACACAGAGAGCGCAAACGCATGGAGATATTTTATTTGAGGTGCGTGTGGAGGCAGAAAAATCCTTTCGAGCAGAGAATGTTGAAGACCCAGCAAACAAAGTGCCATGATCCAACAAAAATGGCTCTCACTGAGCAGCTGTTTACGGATGCCTGGGCTGGTTCTTAGAATTTTTCCAGGCTGCCTTGAGCTGGGTATGTCTTCTTGCAGTGGCAGCAAACTGCTGTGTCAGCAGAGAGCAGCTTGCGACCAAGGGCCCCGGGGAGGAGGGAGAGCCTGGGGTGCTAGCACCGAGTCCGATAGGGCTGCTGGGCGAGAAATGCCGGATGATAGATCAGTTACAGGGCAGGCAGCTGCCGGAATAATTGGCATATCCTTCTCCCCCTGCTCTTTCTGTGGTTTTAAAAAAGCTTTATCCACCTACTGCATCAGGTTGCTGGTAATATTTAAACATACAACTCCGGTTCTGGGGAAAGCTGTTATGTGACGAAAACTTTTAATTCTACAGAGTTTTACCCAGCCTTCAGCTGGACGTTGTGCAATAAAACTCCCATTTCTCAGCGTTACTCCTTCTCCTGGTGTTTTCTGCAACTTCTTTCTGTTCAGTGTTTGCTCTTCCTTCACCCTAAATGCTGTCATTTTGTATCTCCTTAAAAGACCTTTCTCCAGCTATGTTAAAATGATGCCTTTGAGCTACTTTTCTCAATATTCTCATAATAATTTCAATCTAAAAGACCATTAAAAAAAAAGGATAGAAAACCCAAAGGCAAAATCATAACTGAATTTAAGACAGACTATGAAAGTTGTTATTTGTACGTGGGTAGTAAAAAGGTTGAAGATGACGAAATGGGTCTCTGTGAATGAAATTAACACTTGCATTGCACTTTTGCCATTAGTATTGCAGTTAACATTAAGCAATAAAAATAAGAGCCATAATTAACCAATGATTGAAAAGTATTTTTTTTATTGAACATGGAGCAATTCTCTCTCTTGTTGTTACACATGAGAAGCAGAGAGACTCACCAGAGGAGGTCTCGTTTATGCGGGGAAACCTCTTCCTCACTGCGTGCCCACTGCTGTCGCTCTTATTTCTTGCCCCGCAGCCAGTTCTGACACCTGGAGAGGCACCGCTCCACGATGGCGGCGGTGCGGCTGTTGAGGCGGAAGGGTGCTCGCGGGGACGGGCGGGCGGCGGCACCCTTGGCTGTGCCCTTGGTAGAGCTGGTGTCTGCGGGTCCCGCGGTGTCCTGGGGCACGCACAGCTCCACGGCGCTCTGCGGTGTGCGTGTCCCCGTGGGTTCTGCGGCGCTCTGGGACACGCATGGCTCCGTACAGATCACGCTTTGGGATGTGCAGGGATCCACGCGTGTAACCGAGCACTGATCAGGGCAGGGATCACCAATAGTCACACCCTGAGCACAGCAGGGCTCCTCCGTGTAGGTCTCGAGCACCTCAAGGGTGCAGGGCTCCACAGATGAGATCGGGTCCTGCAAGGGGATGTTTTCCACGCAGGTCCCAGCTGTCTCAGGGATGCAAAGCTCCACCGGCGAGACTGGAGGCTGGAGCGGAAAGGTCTTCACACAGGTCCCAACTGCCTCGAGGGTGCAGGGATCCATTGCTGAGGTTGGGTGCTGCACGAGGAAGGTTTCCACGCAGGTCCCAGCTGTCTCAGGGATGCAGGGATCCACTGGTGAGATTGCGTGCTGGAAGGGGAAGTTTTCCACACGTGTCCCAACTGTCTCAGGGGTGCAGAGCTCCACTGGCGAGGCTGTGGGCTGGAACGGGAAGTTGATCCCTCCCTTGCTTTGAGGAGGGTCACAGGGGGTTGCTGCTGGGCACACGCAGGCACCCACGCATGGAGGTGCGCAGGAGTCCAAGGCAGCTGCCTGCTCAAGGCAGCAGGCATCCCCAGGCACGGGGACAGCCGGAGGTGGGCAGGTTGGCCCAACCTGAGGGCAAGCATCCAGGCAGGTGACTGCACCCTGACGCGGGTAGGGGTCCATCTGGACAGTCTGCTCAGGGCAGGGTTGCATGTCCTGCACGGGGCAGGCATCCAGGTCCACCACAGCACAGTGCGATGGGCGAGTGTCAGCGTGCGCAGCCTTCCCCGTGCAGGCAGGAGGAGGCAGGCAGGGCAGCTTGCACTGGGAGGACATCTTTCTGCACTGCAGGCAAGCCTGAAAGAAAAAGAGCTATTTGGTGTCTACTAACCCAAAGCATCAGACATTTCACTCTTGGCTCCTGGGAATTCTTTAGCAAGACAGTTGCTATTTATGCCACGATTTGGTAATGAAATAAGGAATAGAGAGGAAATTTCCTTTTTTTGCTTTTCAAAATTCTGCAACCACTCCTTATGAAAAGAAGTTTGGTCATTCTGTTTTTCCGTATAAACTTCCAAACAGCTTTTCTTATTAAAATCTGTTTTCAGCAAACAATTTCACCCTAGCAGCATTTTCTAGGATAAGGATAGCAGTGGGTTTAATTAACGTTTTCAGCAGGTTTACAAACTTCAAGTTAATCACTTCTATTTTCGAGACATTTGCTGCTTGTCCTGAAGCTCTCTTGCAGGAGAATACCCATCTCGCAAGAGGTGCAGCTATCACTGTCCTACCTTTACCGTGGCTAAAAGCAGCAACAGGCTAGACAGGTAAAAGACAGACGTAGTTGTTCAGGCTTACCCTGATGCCGGGCGCTCTTACCTGGGAGCTTGGCCGCTGCCGTACGCGATGCTGCAGTCGCTTCACCGCTTAGACGAGAGCTACGTGTGCAGCAGTTGCGGCTCCTGCCTGCTGTGTTTTAGCCCTCTAAATCCAGAGCTGAGACAACTGGAAGCGTTTTGCAGAGCATCCATGGGAATTACAGCAAAGTAAGTGCGAAGGAAGAGGATTATTACTCTTTCAAACTCTTATCAGCAGGGAAGTGTGAGAGCCAATAAACAATTTCCTTTACACAGCTGGTGGCAGTAATCTATTCCAGCAAACACAGAAAATTCACACCAGTAATAGGCTTAGATCTATACAATCCCGAAGATACTTACCCAGCTCAGTATCAGCAAATAAAGGCAGCGAGCAGACACGGCAGCTTTAACCGGAGATCTGCCTTGTATATTCAAGAGCCTGGCCTCCAGAGGTGAGGTGCCCCAGGCGCACAGACAAGCTACCCTTTGCTATCCCAGACCTGCTCCGCCTCTGCCCTGAGATGGATTATTTGACTAATTATTTTTAATGGAAACCGGCTATTTCCGTGGCTGTAGCATAACCTCAAGTGAGCAAAGATGGCCTGCGAATTCACGTGTCCTCTCAACGGGGCTGACGTCAGAGAAGAATTTGGGAAATGAATGGATTCTCGACCTGCTCTCAAATAGTTGCCCAGTCATGGGTCAGTTTTTCTGTGACGGTAGAACATCCTCCAGCCCAACACATCATATGGGCCATTAAGGACAGGATGGCACGTGGGATCTGGGGGATTCTTTTATTTTTAGCCACATTTGACCTCTTTCTGTCACTGCCCCTGTCCTGTTCACGCATGGTGCTGCTGGTGGCGATGTCCTGATGTGCTTCTGGAAACTCTTATATCATCGCTCGTCTTGTGATGTTTTGCATTTTCTGCTCAAGCTCTGACTCAAATAACCCAACACTGTTCCGTCGCCATGACGTTGCCTTTTATCTTCATGCACCCCTGAAGAGCAGAAGAGTGATACGAGGAGTGACCACCACCCTTTTCCTTTCAGCCCACTGGTTTACCAAAGTCAGCTGAATTATAGTAAAGGTTAATTCAAATCGCTGTGGTCAGCAGCAAACTGGCAACCCAAGTGGTCACGATGCCCACATTTACTTATTTCCACCTAAATAACCAAAAGCCGGTACACTGGTCACCACTGTGCTCAGCGGCGTGGACATCACATTGAAAGGGTAGCGTGCAGACACAAGAATGTGCCTTCGTCTCCGGATTATATATGCCCTCGTCTCTGCATGCAAGTAATACTGGTCCGATGCTTGTGTCACCAGGTGACTTAAGGCCAGTTTGGAGTGAGCAGAGAAGGAAGCTTCAAAGTCTTTGATCTCTCTCAGGCAAGGAAATTGTTGGCTCTTCCTTCTCTCTTACAATGAGGGATTTGCAGAAGAGAAGATTTTTACTTGACTGCAATTGTGGGAGGCAGAAAGCAGCAACTCCAGGCTGCAGCAGCCATGCACAGTTCACTGTCTTTTGTGATGGGTGTATCTCAGTCTTGGTTTAGCCCACCATGTGATCGAAATGTGCACGGCAAACCGAAAAGGGCCGCTACCATGGACGCTATGGTCCGAGCACCGAACGCAGATGGTGCATCACCCTGGCGCGTGGCTGCATGGAGATGGGCCACTGCAGGAGAAGTCCTGGAAGGAGCTTAAGTGACACTGAAGATCTTCACACAGTGTGAAGCCTTCCCCGGCTGCCTAACTGCTAAAATCATAACAAATTTTGGCTATGCTGGCATACTGTACTTAGTTGAGGAGCAGAGGTGTTATGAAGCTGCCCAGAAAACTTGGGTGTTCCCAGGTACTGGGCTGCACTCTCCAGCATACACCAGCATTTATGGAGGGTGAGTGCTCCCCTCCATCTGGCAGATGTGAGACCACATCTGGTTGCTGTGTCCAGTTTGGGGCCCACAGTGTAAGACAGTCTCCAATAAACTGGGGTGAGTCCAGTGGAGACCATCCAGATAGTCCAGGGGCCTTGAGGCGATGATGGATGGGGAGAGGTTGAAGGACCTGCTCACCCTGGAAAGGAAAAGACTTAGGGGAGATCCTGGGGATCAGCTATCTAAAAAGTATTAATGGAGAGGCTCTTCTCAGAGGTGGGCAGAGACAGGGTGAGAGGCAATGACTACAGACTGCAGTAAGGGAAATTCTGACCAGATTATCGGGAATAAAATTCTCAGAAGGAGGGATATTGTGTGCAAGGAAGAGCAAGTAAACTTGCACAGTAGGACAGAACAAAACCGCTTACAGAGTCCTATCCCATCTGCAGTCGTGGTCTGTACAGCTGTCTCAGGGTGCAAGAATACATACCAAATTAATTTTTATCAAAACAAAGTTTAATCCCGAGGGGGATTGTTTCCATGCTGGATCATCAGTTCTTTGTTCCCTGTCCCCCGTAGGAAATACACGGATCCGGAATTCAAGCTTGCAGGCAGCAGTCATAGAGTCGCATGTACCACTTCAGTGGCTAGGTTTCGTTAAAAATTATAATGTAAGCAAGTAATTTACGGACTGGAGGAGGAGCAGGTCTGGATTATTAAAAATTTTATTTCCATACCCCTGAGGTGTCTCACTTCCGGAGACACGGACACTGAAATCATATAAAAGGATTCATATTGTAGTGTTTCTTAAACCATTTTGGTTTCGTTTGCCAGTTGCTGGTGCTGAACTGGGTAAGTCTCTCTTGGCTTACTGGGAAGCAATGGAGTGGCTGGGGTTATTTAATTTTTTAATGTTATCTGCAGAAGCAAGTTAGAAGACTTATGAGTGCTTCTGCTTAGCGAGATTTGTTTATGGTATTTATCAGGCAGCTGAGCTAAGGGTAAACATTCATTCCATCTTCTACCAGTCTTTATTTGCTGTATGTTTTGCAATTGCTGTGCTTTCCCCATCAAGATGTTTCTCAGGGTAGTTGAGAGTGGACTAGCCTCTCTCTCTCCTCAGTGACATTGGTACCCTGTTTTAACCAGGAAATTATTGGGTTTGCGAGAGATCAAAAGGCAAGGCTGGGACTTCAAAGGAAAAAAGTGGGAGGGAAGATAAGAAGTGGAGACTTGCAGGCTGCAAGGGTAAACAAAGCCTGGAAGGAAGGCTGGATGAGAAGAGCTAGGACTTCTGTGGGAGAGGTGGGAAAGCAGCTGCACTGTGTCAGGTTCTTTGCTTGTGGAAGTTTTCCGGCACGACGCCTTGACTCACGTCCTCTAGCTGAGGACCTGCGTGTAGACAGGGCACTGTTGGAAGCCTCGTAGTCTCCCTTTTGGGTGGAAATAGGGAAGTAATGTCAAAGAGTTAATCCCAAACCAAGGGGACTTGTGAAGAGGTGGGGGCTGTCATGGCTTCAGATCCTGGGGTATAATCTAGCTGAGTCCAAATAACACCACTTCTTTCTTTTTTCCTGTTTTGAGAAGAAGTTGTTTGAAATGTATGTGCAGCCAGTAGCTACAAACTTGTTTAAAATGCTTTCAGGTGGAGTTAGAGCCGTGCAGTGGATTTCAGGCTGTTTGACCAGTATATTGTTCAGTATTCCACCGGAAAAAGCATAGTTCAACTCACTGTATAAAACAGCTTTCTGAAAGCTGAATGTCTCTGTTTTCCACACAGTATATTCTTTTCCTGCTTTCAGACATTGTCCCTCCCTCAAAGATGCATTGCCAAAATGATTGCCAACTGAGACAGATCTGCCTTCCACCTCCCACCATCCTGGTGAAGAATTTTCCTGTCCGGGTGGATCCCTGTGGCCTTGCCTGCAACATCCAGTGCTTGGCTCCATGTGTGGATCCCTGCTGCTATGCCAGGATTCCTCAGGGCACCACCACTTACGTGAACCTGGGTAATCTTGGTGTGACGCAGACTGCCAGGAGTGTGGATCCATGCTGCCTCGGGGTCACCACGTGTGTGCCTACGTGCTGTGAGGAAGTGACCAAGTGTACCACCACGTGTGTGGATCCCTGCTGCAAGGAAGTGACCAAGTGCACCACCACGTGTGTGGATCCCTGCTGCAAGGAAGTGACCAAGTGCACCACCACGTGCGTGAATCCATGCTGTGAGGAGGTGACCAAGTGCACGACCACGTGTGTAGATCCCTGCTGCAAGGAAGTGACCAAGTGTACCACCACGTGTGTGGATCCCTGCTGCAAGGAAGTGACCAAGTGCACCACCACGTGTGTGGAT